CTTATTGAAAATCACAGACATTATCATTAGTCATTTAACATTAACAAATTAGCACATCAAAACAAACTTATAAAATTTTGCTTATTGTAATCAGTCTGGTTAGTTATTTTTCTGAAGATAGAATAAAGATTATTCTTTTTGCTTTCTTTTTGTACAATAAGTCAACATGTGGCTGATAATATACAATTATTATCAATAATTATCAGTCTTAACCACTGATTTTAATATTAACCATTTTAACCATTATTTGCTCACAGTATAATAGTTTAAATTTCTGCCAGCTAAAACACACACCAATAAAAACAATATTGGAGTAGTCCAAGACATAGCCAAATATTGCAGAGCCACAGCACTAGCGGAAATATAAATTTGCTGTCTGGAACGCTTTCGGTTAACCGATGTCTTGGTTGATTGATATTCGGATAATCGATGCTCTACTGTAATTAATTGTACAGTATTTGATGATTGATGATTACATGTAACTTACAGTGTAGATTTCCATAACATGTTCCCAACAATACCCCCATATAGTACATACATACTATGCATGGAAGTATCCTCTGGTAAAATTATTTTTGAACATCTCTGTATAAAAGATGTTGGTGTGATGTTTCCAAATCTTGGCAGTCTCTCTGGTCTGATTTTTGATAAATCTAGATTTTTAATTCTGTCTCCTCTATTAATGTTTCATAGAAAATTTATATATAATCAACTAATACATTTTTATATTAAATTGGAAGACAAATTGCACAAAATTTTAATTCCACAATTCCTTAGCTTATCCTATGTTTAATTAGACTACAGGAAATGAACTTTCACCACTTTTGTTGGGATAAAAAAAATCGTCTGGCACATGCTTTTCCCGCCTTTTTACGAACGACCGTTGTTGCCATAGAAACGGCGATCAGACCATCTTGAAGACTCGACCGCTCATTGGTTAAAAGACATCAGACCATCGGCGGACGTCTTATAGAGCTGGTAAATGCTGATTGGTGGACTCCAATGCTGTTCCAATCCTATAAAAGCATTGAAGTTCTGGCGGGAAGATCAGTTTGCTTCGGACATAGGAAGTGAACTCACGCTGACCTGAGTTCGCCTAAGTGGTTTTAGAAGTTTGCCTCATCTTGTTGTATTGTTGTGGACTTTGAATTTGTACGTCGCAAGGTGCTTTCCCGACGGACCTGTTGCAGTGGATGATTACCTTGAACTTTGTTAATATCTAATGTTTGTAATTCTTATATGTGAACTTTAATTGTAACTGTACATACGTTTATTTTCAATATACATTAAGTTTTAAATATTTGTAGCATTCCAGGATTTTATGATTGAGGTCTTGATTTTCTTTACCGCAGTCACATGCCGCTGAATTCCTCTTGCC